ACAAAACCGCAGTATTTCGTTAAGTCGAATAAAACATGTTCGAACATTGATGAATACACATCGATCCATGGGAATATGCAATGCAGAGTAGCCCCGGTATTATTGGTTTACCAGCAGGCTGCTATTTTTCGATACCGCTTATTAGAATTGCAATCTCCTCTATGGTCTTCGGATTCACACAGCGTAATGCACCGTCCCCTGCCTCTAGTATCGTTGGAGACCGTTATGCTGTTTTATGCTGTTATCTTAAATCACATAAGTCGTATTTGCGTAACATCATTTTGTAGAATATATAGCTTTGCCGGTTCTGACATGTGATGCCTTTCTAGGCTTCTTCTGAAGTATTTCGTCCGTCAGGAGCTCATCTCCTGGAGACATGATATAATCATTAACTTCGAATCATTATTGCGGCAGGGTACTCACACTTCTCCACCTACTGGAGTATTCGATCCAGAAACAGAATTTGGCAAAAAGCAGTGGGAAGAGTTCCAGACTCGAGTATGCGAACATGTAAGTATAGAAATACTTTTTAAAAATGTGCGGTTTTTTCAAGGATTGGGAACTTTAAACTTTTCGCTGTTTCGCGTCTTCTGCGACAATGTTTGTGTCGAAAATCTTTTTATAAGAGAATAATAGGCCTTTGGTATCAGCTAGTGAAAGGTGGGAACCAAAATATCAAACGACTATCAAGAAACCATTATTATAGCTGTCAGTTTATAGCAAGGTGTTAAAAAGGTGGTCACAGTAATAAAATGGGTGTGGGCTAAGACTCTAAAACAATTACGATCTTGCACATTTCGATAATACTGATGATAGGATCTTGCACGTTACGTTACGCACGTACAGGCGGTGAATGTCTAGCATAGAAATTAGAATTGTCTGCATCGATAAAAAATATTATTTCTGATACATTTTCGCACAATGCAGACAACTTGAACTGAAATGGACCAACATGAATATCGACATTTGCTTGTTTATACTTCTGTGTTGCATGTATTGTGCATAAACTCATAGTTAATGGTTTTCGTCGATCCTGTAGCATAAAGCTATTCGAACGTAGCAGTATTGAATTTAATGTCATTTTAAATACTATTAATTTTTAAATTAATTGAAAATTATGTTTGTACAAAAAATATTTACCGTAATTAATGATTTATTTATTTCTAGAATATTCGTATGATTTCAAAGTACTACAAGCGAATCACACTGAAAAGGCTTTCCGAACTTTTGGATCGCGCTCCAGAAGTAAAAATTTCATTTAAACCGATGAATTAATTTTTGTTTGCTTTAAAAGACCAGGCGTATAGTAAGGTTAAGTCTGAATAAAAAACTTCTTAATAAAGGCTGCCATGCACAGTGGATTAGCAGACAATATGATGGATTTAAAACCATTACAACGCTTATCTGCTGGATTCT